TATATATATATATATATAATTTGCTAGAAGGCACATGTGGTCCTCTGGGAGGTTAGGAAGCACCCCCAGGGGAGCCAGCAGGTGGCTTAGTGGTTAAGGTGCTGGACTCCCACATGGCTGACTGCAGTTTGAGTCCCAGACCCAGAGGCTTGAAACTCATGCTGAAAGCGTTTGTGTGCATGCCCAAAATCTGGAGAGGACAATGGAGGAGAAGGGACTGTGGCATGGCCATCTCCCAGGGGTGATTTCTCACTTTCTCTCTCTTTGTCTCTCTGGCTAGCACATTCACCCTATAGCAAAATTCTCTATGAAAAGAAGAAAGAAAGAAAGAAAGAAGAAAGAAAGAAAGAAAGAAAGAAAGAAAGAAAGAAAGAAAGAAAGAAAGAAAGAAAGAAAGAGAAATCACAGCTTAGTGGGGTGGCCACGTCATAATCCCTTCTCCTCCATTCTCCTTTTGGGATTTTGGTAGCATGCATACACATGCACCCAGCATGTTTTCCAAGCTTCCAGGTCCAAGATTCAAACAAGGCAGTCAGACATGTAGGATCCTGCCACCAGGCCACAGGCTGGCTTGCGATATTTTTTAAAAGTGTATTTATTTACTCATGGAAGATGAGTGACAGAGAGACGGTGCCCCTGATAGGGTCTTGATGCTGCAATCCACCCGAAGGGCAATTCTTTATAAACTAGGGTAGAGAGGGTAGTGGTCAGATCAACAAACTGACCTTTCTCAGTGATTTTTTCCAGATGTGATAGCAATTGCTCATAGGCGCTGTTATCTTCTGGGCCCTCCTGGGAGATGACAGTGCAAGACAGATTAATACACGTTTTTAGGGTCAGGGCTGGAGACCTGAATGTGAGTTGGCGTTCCCACGGTACTTTGTCAGTCCTCAGCTCTGAGAATGTTGGAGGAACATAAAATCTATGTGTTATTACCCGGGCTATTTACTCTTGCTTTGCAAACAAGTTTGACAGAGTTTCAATGGCAAATTCAAAGAGGAAGGGGAGCCACCTTACTAGGATGCTAGGCCCTCAATAACCTAAGCCCTACTGCTCTTTCTAATCTCTCCTATCACTACCTCCATGGATACTCCAGGCTCCACCTATAGAAAACCATAATATATCTTTTTATTTGTGTTACCTCTGCCTTCACTTGACTAATTACTTTCATTCCTGAGGCCCTGCCATGTTTCTGAGGCCCTTCTCTGAGCTTTGTGCTGGGAGGTTGGCATTAGGAATCAGCAAGTGAGAGAGTCTAGCAGGTATCTCACCTGCCCTTCACTTTACCGGCTCCATTAATCATTGTATGTGTGTCCTTGATTGTTACTGGCCCAAAGAGGTCAGTAAACGCTGCCTTTCACAAAGAGGAAATGGTAGGTCACGAGTGGAGAAACTGCTCTTGCTGATGTCTTATTACATCCGCCACTCCCTGAATGGCCCGTGAGCTGAGTCTTTGCCCATACTGTTTATTCTGCATGGAACATTTCCTTTTCTTTCACTAGTGAAGGCTTCACCTCACCTCTCATGTGATCGTTTTTATTTTGTGCCCTTGGTGTTGTGTCAGCCTCCCCCACTGGCTGTGAGCTTCTCAGAGTCAAGGACCCAAGACATCTGAATCCTTTCTGTGGCCCGGTGCTGGGTTTAGGGTAGTGTTGAACGAATGAACTATTAATAATAATGAATGTGGTAGCCAGGCGCTCTGGTGGGCATGCTGGAATGGGAGCTCTAGAGACAAGATACACTAAGTTCAAAAGGGTGGGGAAGAAACAAGTGGGGCTTGTCCAGGTCTGGTACCTGCAAAAAGGCAGCCAGTACAGCCAGGCCTCCTGGGCGCCCCAAGGACTCGCTAATGTTGGCAAATGCAGTGCTGAGGTGAACCACATGGATCTGAAGAGGACAAGACAGTAGGCAGGCATGAGCCAGCTCTCTTGGCTGGTGTCGCCCTTTTGCCTCGCCCTTTTGCCTCGCCCTTTTGCCCCGCCTCGGACAGCTCTGCGCTCACCTCCGCAGGGAAACGGTGGCCGTCAATAGTGTGCTCCGAGCCTGGGCGACCCGCAGTTCCCCAGTGCAGATGCAGCTGCAGGGCCCGGTACTCCCGTCCGGGCCCCAGAGCCATCTCTAGTCCGGGAGGCAGAGTGAGCTCCACTGCATGATGGCAGGTAGTACAGGCAGGTAAGCTGGGACACTGCCTCGTCCTGATGGGTAGGGCCAGCCCGGCCTCCCCGCGCTACCCAGAGTGACAGCCTTCCATAGGCCCCGCCCCATACCCAGATAGTCTCCACCCCTTCCATGAGACCCCGCCCCCTAGGCGCCTCACCGGTGTGGCCATTGTTGCGCAGGCGCAGTTCTGGGAGTGGCGGGAGCTGAAAGCCCAGGAGTTCCAGGGGTTGCAGGGCGGGGCAGAATGTAGCGAGCTTGGGACGGATATCTACCGGGGACTGAAAGCGGCCAGCGCAGGCTGGGAACACCTGAGGCCAGGGCAGGTCGCCTGAGGTAGGAGAGCGTGGTGAGGAAGTCTGATCTCTAACTCAGGAACTTTTAGAGAACCCAGATAGAAAAAGTGAGGGGTGGAGTCAGGAGGCATCCGAATGGGTAGCAGAAGTCAGGGGTGTGGGCGGGGATAGGCAGCGGGTGGTGCCCCGGACTTGCAGACGTGCGTGTGTGGTGGGCGGGATGTCCAAGGGCCAGCGTTCATATGGTTGTGGGGCAGAGGCAGTAGAGCTGGGTTCCCATATTGGGCCTGTGCAGGGAGTGGGTGTCTCACCTCCATAGCGCCAATGACTGTGGTCATCCCCTGCGTAAATAAGGATGAACAGGCTGATCTTAGAGCCTAATCCCTTCCCAGGGACCAGAACGGCGCGGGGTGGGGGGTGTACAAATTCAGATGCTGTACAAGAGCATAGCAGGCAATAGAAATACCTGAAGGGGGTCATGGGAAAAGCTCAATGGACTACAACCAAACGCCACAGCTGAGTGGGCTGAGCAACCACCCTACCGCCCCACCAGTTTGTAACCCCTGTCTTAGGGTCTGCAAAGTGGACGAGAAGGCCTCGGTCCCCAGGCCCAAGTCAATAGACCTCCTTTCCTATCCCCTGCTCTTTCTGGTCTCCACTCCTTTCCCGAAATTTCTGGCTTGTCAAGATACCAGGATCCTCTACCTGCTGTTTCCTTCTTCCTGGGTCTCAGTGCCCTCCTTGTAGACTAAAGATGAGAGGCTCTCTGCAAGCTCTGCCGCTCTTGTGCTCACTCATCCCCCACCCCCAGTCTTTCCTCTTTTCATATTCTTTTTCTCCAGCTCCACCTGTTTTTTCTCTTTGCACATTCCTCATCTCTTTCTCTTCCACCTCCTTTCTTTCATGTTTCTTCCAGCTACTTTCTGTCCCTTCCTGCCCCCTTCTCTTCGGTTTTTTTATTTTACTATAGGGTGTGCTGGCTTGGAGGTGGTGGTGGGGATGAGAAAACACCCCCAGAGGGTATGGTCCCACCGCAGTCCCTCTCCTCTGTTCTCCTCCGTTCCCCTCTCCTCTCCGGATTTTGGGATGTGCCCCCCACCTTTATCAACCTATGGGTCCCCTTCCAGCTCTGAAGTGGGGAGGAGCCCCTGGGCTTGAGAGTGCAGGTTCCTCTCCTTCCCTGAATAACCCACGTTTGAACTGGAGGATGGGGGGAGGGGGTTGCTGAAACTTAAGTTGGAGGGCTGATGGCTGCTTACCTTTTTTGTCCCTGTGGGCATTGTTCTGGGGGCCCTGAGTTTCCCGGGGAGCCTCAACAGTAGGTAGGTCCTCTGGCTTCAGTGAGTCCTCTTCTTCTGGATCAGTCTTATCTTCAGGTAGATCCTCTTCTCCAAGTGGATCCTCTTCTCCAGGTGGATCCTCTTCTCCAGGTGAATTGTCTTCACTGGACAGATCCTTTTTACCCAGGGGATCATCTTCCCCAGATAAGTCTTCTGTGGGGGCATCTGCCTGCATCCCGGACAGGCTCTGGGGATGGGCAGGCACCAGGAGCAGCAGCAGCAGCAGGAGTTGCACTGTGGGGCCCCCGGCAGGGTCGGGAATCAGCAGAGGGAGCCAGGCGCTGGGGCACAGGGGAGCCATGTGGCTGACTGTGGGGTGTCCCAGGACACGGTGTGTACGGGCTGTACGTGTATCGGAAACAGGAGCCGGGTGGGGGAGGAGCAAGCCTGGAGGGGAGCAGGCTGACTCACAGAGTGCCCTTTTGTAGAGATGGAGCCAAAGTCCCGTGGGTCTGTATGGCCCTATGCCCCCTCCCCGATACCAAAGCCTGGATCTGGATGGGGGTGGAGTAAGGGGCAGGTGTGTTCGCAGGCAGAAGGTTATCGAGGTCAGGGGCTCAGCTTAGAACCCAAGGCACCACCTGGCACTGTACAGCCTTTCCCTGGCACCACCCGCTTGCTTGCCAGCCAGCCTCAGCTAACACTGGCCTGCTTCCCAGCCCCAGGCAAGGAAGGAGAAAGATGGGGGAGCTGGGGCCCCAGAGTCCTCTGGCTGAGAGGGAAAGCAGCCCATATATACATCCCTGGACCAGCCAGGGAGCAGGTAAAGGAGATACGGCAAGCTGCTGGGAGAGCCTGAAGATGAGTTAGGTAGATGGGTAGGTGGGAGGCAAATGTGAGCACAAATGGAAAACTACGTATATGTATGGGAGGGACTCGGATGGATTTAAACTGAATTTCTTTTCTGTTTTCCTTAAGTTTTGCTATAGAGTGTGTGCACTTGCTGGAGAGAGACAGAGAGGTGTGGGAAAGTGAGAAATCATCCCCCAGGGGTGATGCCAATGTTGCAGTCCCTTCTCCTCCACCCTTCTCTTGGGATTTTGGACATGCAGGCACACACACTCATTGTGTTTTTCAGATCACTGGGTCTGGGACTTGAACTGCATAATCGGCCATGTGGGATCCAGCCGCCTTAACCACTAAGCCACCGGCTGACTCTCTGAATTAATTAATTAATTTATTTTTGAGAGTTTTTTTTTTTTTTTTTTTTTTTTTGCTATAGGGTGTGTGCGCTCGCCAGAAAGACAGAGAGAGATAGAGAAACAGAAAGCGAGAAATCATCCCCTGGAGGGATGGCCACACCGCAATCCTTTCTCCTCCATTCTCCTCTCGGGATCTTGGACACACACATGCACGCGCACGCGTGTCCGGCGTGAGTTTAAACCACCGGGTCTGGGACTACATGGGGTCTAGTGACATATCTGAATTTATTTTTTTATCCAATTAATCCCCCACTCAAAAAACCTTCATTGACCCCCAACTCCCTACCAAAGTATGCCCATCTTCTCCCTCTAGTTGACCTCTAAGTTCATTCAAAACTGTTTTTACCTGAGTAAAAAACAAAAAACTGTACCTGAGTGACCTTTCCATCTTTTTTCCTACTATTCTCTTTCATACTCAGCCAAATTAAACTATTCGTTTTTTCCTCCAAACTTTTTTTATAAAGAATTATTTTATTTGTTATTATTTTTTAATTTGCTGCAGGTCATGTGTGCAAGAGAGAGAGAGTGAGAACACAAGCCCTTAGGTCTGGGACTCAAACTGCAGTTAGCCATATGGGAGTCAAGCGCCCCAACCACCACGCCACCTGCTGGCCCCTTTCCAAACCTTTCACCAATCTTTGTTCATCTAGTTCTTCCTGCTTGGAAGCCATCACTCTTACCTATTTATTTAGCACCTACCATATGTCAGCCATGGGAATATGGTCTACGAGGAGCTCACAATTTAGTAAGGCACAGCAAATACTGTCATAACATAATATGTGGGTGAGAGAGGTTAATTCTGCCTCAGAAGGTAATACAGAAGTGGGCAAAATCTGAGTGGGCCGGCAGGTGGCATGATGATGGTTAAGGTGCTGAATCCCACCTGGCTAACTCCACAGATCCAAGTCCAGGACCGAGAAAGACACACCAGGCATGTGTGCATGTGTGCCCAAAATCCCAAGAAGAGAATAGTAGAGAAGGGATTGCAGTGTGACCATCCCGCATGGGAGATGCTTTCTCAGTTTCCCTTTCTTTGTCTCTCTCCGGTGAGTGCATGTGCCCTATGACAAAAAAATCTGGTCAGGGCCTTGAAGGAGCAGCATTTCAGTTGGTAAAAACAGTGAGGAGGAGGCCAGCAGATGGTGTGGTGGTTAAGGCGCTGGACACTACCACATAGCTCACTACCTTTCCATTCCTGCACCTGGTGGCTTGCTTTCTCACTTTCCCTCTCTGTGTCTCTCTCTGGTCAAATTAAGATAAATGAACAAATAAATAATAGTTAACAAAACAAAATGTAACAAAAACAGTGGGGAGAATGGTATTACAGGCAAAGAGGAGGCAGGAAATATTTTGAGCGTTAGAATGACAGAATCCAGTTCTCATAGTGTGATAGGTCAGGTTGATGGCTAGTGTGAAACATGAAGGGAGAGACTGCGTGTGAGATGAGGTGGGAGAGAGAGGAGACCACAGGGGCCAGGCTGCCTGTCTGCCTTTTGTTTACTTTCTGATTTTTTTAAAAAAAGAATTATTTTAATTTTATTCATCCATTAATTTCTTTTCATTTGACCAGAGAGAGACACAGAGAGAGAGAGAGGGAAAGTGAGAAAGCAAGCCACTAGGTCCTGGCCTCAAACCAGGGTCAGCCATGTGGGAGCATCCAGCGCCTTAACCACTATGCTACTTGCTGGCCCCCTAATTGATTTTTAATTTTGTCAGAGAGTGTGTGTGCTTACCAGAGACACTGCTGGTGGTGTGTGGGGGGAGGGGAAGCACCCTCCATTGGGGTGTGGTCATGCCACAATCCCTTCGTCATTTCTTTATCCTATCAGGATTTGGGGGTCTCACATACATGTTTTTCAAGCCTCCAGGGCTAGGATTCAAACTGCACAGGTGACCATGTGTGATCTTATTCCCTTAACCAGCAGGCCATGGGGCCAGCCCCCTAGTCTGCCTATTTAACAAACATTGAGATTTCCTCAGTCCTCCCGGTACTATTCTAGGCCCTATGGATGCAGCTTTGAACTGAGCACCTGCTGCCCCATAGCTCACATTCAAGTAAGGCCCTATGGCTTCAACAAACCAGAGAATGAAGCCATTTCAGGTCAGGTCTATATCTAGGGCTGATATTCAGTAGGTACTACCAGTATGATGGTATAGGTCAGTTCAATATAGTAAATATTTTTGGGACCCAGCAGTTAGCGTAATGGCTATGTCGCTGGACTCCCACGTAGTCGACTGCGGTTTGCATCCTGGACCCGGTGGCTTAAAACTCACGCCAGGCACGTGTACGTGCGTGCCCAAGATCCCGAGAGGAGAATGGAGGAGAAAGGATTGCGGCGTGACCATCCCCCCTGGGGGGTGATTTCTCGCTTTCTGTCTCTATGTCTCTCTCTGCCTGGCGAGCGCACGTGCCCTATAGCGAAAATCTCTCAAAAAAATAGTAAATATTTTAAAAATTATTATTATTATTAATAAGAGAGTTCATGGGTACATATGAGAAAGAGAGAAGCACCCTCAACAGGATCTCTTTACACTGTGACCCCCTGTCTCCAGCCCTCAGTGCATCAGGATCATGAGTGCATGTTCACTTGCACATGTTCAGGTCAACTGGGGATCTGAACCCACAGCCATGCAGCCTCTAGTACTGCAGTTCAGTATGCTACCATCTGTGCCACCAAAACTAGGCCCTATGTACTGACATATTTCTAATCATGTCAGCATATAGCCATGATCTCTGTGCCCCTGCTATCCCAGCTCTTCCTGGGGATCCTCCAGGCTGCCTCACCATCCCTTATCTAATGCCTGGCATGGCAAGAGCCCCAGCACCCCACCTGAATGCTCAGCTAGCTTCCATTCTACCCTGTTAAATAGTTTTACTATCTCTCCAGTCTAAATACCTTCTTATTCTTTCTTTCTTTCTTTCTTTTTTTTTTGGAGAGGTTTTCGCTATAGGGCGCGTGCGCTCGCCAGACAGACAGAGAGAGACAGAGAGACAGAAAGCGAGAAATCACCCCCCAGGGGGTATGGTCACACCGCAATCCCTTCTCCTCCATTCTCCTCTCGGGATCTTGGGCACGCACGCACACGCGCCGGCGTGAGTTCTAAGCCACCGGGTCCGGGACGCGAACCGCGGTCGACTACGTGGGAGTCCAGCGACATAGCCATTACGCTAACTGCTGGTTCCCAATACCTTCTTATTTTCAAGACTCAGCTTAAAGGCCACCCTTTCCAGACAGTCTTTCTTTTCTTTTTTTTTTTTTTTCTTTTTAGAGAGAGATTTTTGCTATAGGGCACGTGCGCTTGCCAGAGAGACAGAGCAAGAAATCATCCCCTGGGGGGATGGCCTCGCTGCAATCCCTTCTCTTCCATTCTTCTCTCAGGATTTTGGGCATGCATGCAACATGCACCCAACATGCACCGGCTTGAGTTTTGTTTTTGTTTGTTTGTTTGTTTTGTTTTTTGAGAGATTTTTGCTATAGGGCACGTGCATTTGCCAGAGAGACCGGTGTGAGTTTTAAGCCGCCAGGTTCGTGTCTCAAAATGGGGTCGACTACGTAAGGATTCCAGTGACATAACCATTATGCCATTTGCTGGTTCCCAGAAAGCCTTTCTTGACCAACACTCCACCACAATTCCGGAAGCGCTCTCTGGTACCTCTGAGCCACCAATTCTTTGTCCTCAATAATAATCTTGTCCACCATCTAACGCTTGTTAGGGTGATTTATGACATTTTATCTGCTCTAATAGCCTTGAGCTCCATAAGGGCAGGGTCCAGTATTCAACTCAATTTTTTTATTCAATAGTCATACTGAACATTTTCTCTCTGCAGATCACCTTGCCAAGTGTTCAAAAAAATGCCAGATTGACTAAGCTGTCTTCTCTGCCCTCGGGGAGCTCATTGTCAATGATCTGGGCATGTCGAATCACAACTTTTCCAGGAGCATGATATCACATTTTTATGACACCCCTAAATTATCTGCCTCGTAAGAGTGACTGTCTTGTTGCACATCAAAACGTGAACAGCTAAGAAAGAGCTGTCCTCCAAACAGTCATCTTAAGGGGTAGTCAGCCTAAGAATCTAGACTGCCATTTCTAGATCCAATTCAGAGCTGTCCATGCCAGTCTGATCTGGTGTGCACTCTGGATGATCAACTGATTGTCTTGGGCAGCTGGGCTGTCAGTGCCAGGCTTGGGCCCTGATACATGAAAGTACATGGTAGTATCTGAACTGGATGAGCCTATACAAGTCAGAATATGGCAAGGACTAATCTAGTTGAGGTAGAAGAGGTCAACGTGAAGGCAGAGGAGACAGAAGCACCATGCTAACTAGAGGCTAGGTGGCTGGACATCTCTCCAACACCAGTC